AAAAAAAAAAAAAAAAAAAAGAGAACCCACAAAAAAACCAAAAAGAACAAGTCAGAGACAGGTGTCACAGTTCGCTTTTCCAGGTTAAGGGAAATGATCCAATTCTAGGTCGGTGGCCAACTCTTTGGACTTGGCGAGGATGTAGGGAAGTTCCTCTGCGGGTTGAGGGTTATGTGGCACTGGAGTACGATGGATAAAGTCTAGCAACAGCCAGAACATCAGAGACCGAATAATAGTCAGGAGGCATATTGAATGAGTGAGCGGGAGTATAGATAGACAGGGTATGTTTAACGGATCAATAACACCAGGTTTTGTATATTTTACCTTGGTGGCCACCCCCCAGCCCTGTACAATGGGTAGGAGGTGCAGCAGGTATGATAGACAGTGTCCTTAATGGATAGAGATTACATATGATGAAAGGCGGTTCCAGCCCTGCAAAGCTCGGGGAGGTACTTAGAGTGCAAAATTACAGTAACCAGCGTGTCCCCAACATGAGGCTGGGGAGCCTGAGGGAAGACTACAATGAAAATATTGCCTGTCAGAAATGAATATGGAATAACCTAGATTGGTGGAGGTGTTATTCTCACCCCAAAAAGCTCAGCATATGTGGACGTTTGTACAGAAACCTATATCTCCGCACTCCCGCTGATTGTTATGAAGGGATAAATTGGTACCCCGGTTCCAGGAATGTCAGTAAAGCTTTCCGGTGGGGAGCATAGAGAAATCCTAGTCAAGCACCCCAATATATTCATTGAGTAATAGTATTGAGATCCTTCTTCCCTTGGGGCGCATTTCGCTTACACAGGACATAGGTACATCAATGTTGAAGTAGCCACAATGGCTGCGTTTGATCACGAAGGGTTTTATAAAACTGGCGACTACACTGAACGCATTGGGAATGACTACTTTTTCAAAGGCAGGGCTTCATCTGATTGTATGTATTCTCCCAGGTCCTGACAAGCGCTCACCACAGCCAAACTAAGTGCGTGTTAAGGGGTCCAGTTTCATGAATACACGATATCTATTCTGGAGCTCGAGCGTTATTTCATGGATCTTCCATATATTTCTGAAGCCCACGTTCTCCCAGTGCCGGATCGTGAGGCTGGTTGGTTGGTTGCAGCACTCGTTGAGGTTCAGAAGCCGAATGCAACCGAACAAGACCACGGTAATATCAGCCTTCGGCGTATACATGAGGGCCTCGGTGTGCGAATCTAGTCTCATACAGATTACCTGCTCTTTTAGGGATTCTTCCGAACAAAGAAGTCCCTCGAACGACCTCCGTCAAGGCGTTGAAAACAGAAATCCTCCGGAAATACTTTAATATATCGGGATACCTGCCAAAAGATTATGCCATGGATGGCGCAGAGTATTGGGGAAACAAATTGGATTTGACCGCTTCGACCCGCACGTTTGATTGGGGAGGCATTTATCAGGGTTAGTTGGGAGTTTATGCGGAGCATGATAGTTGACAAATTGTTTAGGGAGTCTCACTTACTATAGAAGAAGCACTTGCAAAGAGAGAGAGATCTGCTTGCAGAATTCTATTGCCACCAATGATTTGAGGTAGTCGTACATTTGAGCTACAAGCCCTTGCTGAGTCCAAGATTTTGGACTTGGATTCAACCGGACCTCTGAGAAAGAAGGAGCTAGGGGTGGTCCAGTTTTGGTCCCTGCCACTCCTTTCAAATAAGCCTAACTGTACAAGATTATCCCCAGTCAATCTCGTATGAGGTTACTTTGTTAAATTATCAAATTCCCACAGTATATTAGGAGTAACACGAGTCCAGGATTAAGCAAGCAATATGAACGGCGTCCTTTGTCTGAATTATATAACAACATCACGTTATGCCTTTCTGGCATAGATTATAATATCCGCTTTGGACAAATGGCGCCACAGCACTCATCAGGATTGGATTGTCTCTCAGGTTTCAAAGGGACTATGGGTTGGCCGCAAAGTCGGTCCACTATGTCGGTCGTCCCACAACCACTGTTTGCACCCGTAAGGACACATACCGTATTGCTTGATCATTGCCACGGCACTGCATTTTGGAATCACTGTTGGTGCCCTCAATACGGTCTCAGTGTTTGCAGGTCCTTGTGATGTAGTTTACAACTCTATCATCAGTTTGTGAGCAAGTTTATGGAAAAGCGAATGGGTATGATATAACAATCCCACCCAGAAAAGAAGGGGCGGTTAACAAGCTTGCAGGAGTGGAAATGGCTGGTTATAGCGGGGAAAGAGTGTTGAATAGGCTGAGGAAGGGAGTGAGGTTTTTATAGAAATTTTAAAAGCGGCAAGCAGGACTAAGCGGCGGGGTGATTGGCGTAGGGTGTCCCATCAATGATAGTACAAATCCAAATGCTGTAAAAATATAATTTCTTCCAAATCTTCATTTTTTACATATATGATAAATCAAAGCCAGCCATTATATAATTAAGATCTTATGTAAATTTAGCCATTACAAAAATAGAACTAGGCAGCCTTCCTCCTCTAGGACCTAGGTATATGATATATCTATCAGTAGATTATAGAATCAGTCCAAAGATAACCTATCCCTGCATATGACTAGTGACCCCCTACTCAGAAGAGGGATTCCTTCTGCTTAACTTCACTGTGAGTTTGAAAGAACGTGAAGCGTGAGTCACAATCCATAACGGAAAGGGGATTGAATTTATACACCCTCTCTCATTACACTAAAATAAGGTATTACAAACCATTGGCAGATTCCATCTGGAGTTACTATGGCAGTACTGACCGGTTTACTCATAGAACTGTGAAGCCTACGTTGGGCGCTGAGTTGGATTCGCATATACAAAAGAGGAGTCTTGTCCCTTTTATCTTTATCTTGCGCTTCTTAGTTTTGTTGCTACTCCCACTATTGTAAAGATTAATAAAAGCGAAGTACATGAGGCCTACATAATCACATATTGACCGGGAGGAGAAAGCAATTCTCTAGTCATCTAGATATAAGACTGAGAAAGAAAGAGACGAAAAAAGAAAGATAAGAATGCTTGAAAACTAGATTTATATTGCTTCTTTATTTATATAGGGCTAGTAATACCGTGAAAGCCCGCGTTTAGTAGATAACATACTCAACCACGACCGTCTTGCTGCTAGTCTCAATCTCAGTCTCGGTTTCCGCCTCGCTCTTGTCCTTCTCCTGCTTGAACTTGGTCTCGACCTCGTGCTGGAGCGAGTAAGGACCAGCCTTTGCCTCGTGCTTAGTCTCCTTGCTAGTCTTCCTCTCTGGCTTCTTGCCCTTGGTCCATTCCTTCTCCACCTCGACCTCGCGTTCGATTTCGATCTCCGTCTTAGTCTCAGTCTTGGTGGTCTCGAATCCAATTGGGGCGTCGTCGGCCTCAAGTTCGTCGCTGAGCTTCAATTTAGGTGCGCTCTTGTCGACGTCGAAGACGATCTTAAAGTCGGCCGTGAGACCACCGGCAGTGGCAGTGTACTTGAGTTCGTCACCCTGAGTGATCTTGAAGGAGGCCTTGTCACCCTTGGAGAGGCTCTTCGGGGCTTCGGTCGACTCGCTGATGGTTGACTTGTCCTCGAGGAGACTGATGGTGGCGTCGGTAGTGACGGAGATGGTCACAGGGACTACACACACACAAGTTGTCAGCAGAACGTCAAGGTATTTGTGTAATATATGGGAAGAATATGATCACTGACCAGATGAACGGACATCACCTCCCTCCTGAATTGCCTTGATCTTGGATAGCACGTCGAACTGCTCGACGAGAGCCTCGACTTGGCTGTGGAACTGAGCAATTTCGACAGACATTGTGGATGGATATACTGGTGTTACAACGCACGTTATAATATCACAGAGGAGGAATGGATTAGAGGCCAGGAATGAGGAAGGAAGACGGCAGTGGTATTAAGTAGGAGGGGAGCTTAAGGGAGCCAAGAGAATGACAACGTAGCGATGCGGGCAGAGCCGTGGTTCGATCATTTCGATCAATGAGGCCTGTGTCTGCTAGCACGGGTGTACTCCGTACTGCGAAGGTCGTGTTGACCCTTGGTGGCGCAGTTCGCGCAGAGTGGAACGTGGTCCTATTACATCTTGTAGAAGGAAATTGATATACAAAACCACCCCCGCTCCCGCAAGCACGGACCAACTGTACCCTAATCAGCTTTAGCTATTGATTTTAATTTTTAGCTTTATTGTCGTGACCATTGAATAAAATTGTATTCATTTGAGGATTCTATATGTTCTGAAACAGTAAAAGTTACTATCTTACCGTTTTCTCCTGTTCATCTCTGCTTGAAAAATGAAATATTCCAATCTCTGAGGGAAATTTTCGCTGGGAATCTGGGGAGCCCTTGAACGGAGTATTTTGGTGGGACTGGGTGGGGTTTAGTGAAAGCACTGCCACTTTACTTCCACGTTATTGTTTTAGATCGGCAAGACCATTGACGATGTCCACCTAATCTGGCCAATCCTGTGTCGCAGCAGGTGGTCGTAGCGAAAGACTATCGCTGGCGGGGATGGATTGGATCTCATTTGTCACCGGTCTCCCACAGCCAGGCCCAGATCATTATCTCCAGTAAACGAAGAAAGGTATCCGGTATAGTCGGCGTTTCAAATAAGTGGTTGCATGCCAGGCTGCTGTGAGAGATACACACATAAAGGGGAGGAAAGCAAGCGTGGGGACTTGCATTGTGATAGATTGTCAACCTGTTTCGATAAAATATGGAGAAGTAAATAGTGAATGCGGAGGCTTTTCATAATTAATTTCAACGTCTTCTCGTATCCTGATCAGTACAATCAGTAACTAGCGATATGCAATATGCCCGGGAAGGATGGTTCATTTCAGAGGCACATCTCGGCCTGAAGTGTCCAGTATTCCTGGTTCACATATACCCAACACAATAAATACGAGATGTGATGAATAGATCGGCACGATGGACATGTTCATGGGTTCCCTTATCTTACGTTTTGTGGAATATATTTCCTGTGCTGAGGCACACTGGAAATACAACTTCATACCGATCTGGGGTAGAGAAGAATCAAAGTGAACGACTGCTGACCGAGAGCTCGTCCGAACATGGCCGCCGACGAGGCAGAAGCAGACGGATTTCCTCTTCTACTCGTGCTTATCCAGGGAGTGGGTATGAACAGTCCAAACATAAACTGTCACCGCATACTATCCACGACTTCGACCACTGTGAACAATGAAAATGTTGGGGATGGTGAGGCTGCTAGCATTCGTTGTGCTGTCCCCAGATCGTCACCATTCAATATATTTGCGAGCCATCTACCTACTGACATGATCAGCGTCTGGGCAATATATACCAGACATTGTGCTCTTTCAACTGCCGCGTTGATCTGCGCTGCTCGGCAGTTTTATCCTTCAATGGGTGGAACCTTCTGACGACCAAGGAGGATTATTTGCACGCGACAGTATATACATGTAGTGTGCCCTGGTCACGGCATCCCTAATGGTACACTCTTGTCATCGGGATGAAGGCGGAGAGAGGTAAAATAGAATAAAAAAAAAAGAACACACGTCAGCACTAGGATTCGAACCTAGGAGGGCGAACCCAATAGATATCGAGAATTCGAGTCTATCGCCTTAGTCCACTCGGCCATACTGACTAATCCTATTTGGGCCGGACTTAAAAAAGAGTATTACTAAATATCAGGAACAGTTCCAAAAATCCACCCGTCTTCCCCTGGTAAATGTTCGGCAGCCTAAAAAAGTTTTTACTATAAAGAAAAAAAATACGATAATTTATATTATCATTGATAAATATCTATAGCGTAAATAAAATGATAAACGATCAAGGACTCAAGGAGGTTGAAATTGTTGATTGTTCTACTAGTGAGGTGTTAGCTACGTCACTACTATCTAACAAAGGCGCGCGTAGGCGCTAGGCCAGAACGGGAACCCGCGGTCAACGTAAAGTAAAAAAAAACAAGATTTCACGTCAGCACTAGGATTTGAACCTAGGCGGGCGAACCCAATAGATATCGGAAGTTCGAGTCTATCGCCTTAACCACTCGGCCATACTGACTAATCATTGTTGATTGGATTATAATGCTGCTATACAAGCCAAAAGCCATTTTATTCCCAACAATTCTTGCCCCTATGCCTCGTTTCTCGGCAGTCTGAACTTCTTTTATACGCTAGCATGGATTGAATGAGCAATATCTACAATAATGTCCGAGATTATGATACAAAAAGTGCTAGATGGTTATAATAGTTCTCCAGGGTCGCCCTCCTTCTTGCTGTGTTCAGCGGATGCAAGTTCAAACTCACACCTTGCCAACGCCAGCGTTGGCCTTGACGTTGGTAGGGACATCGGCCACACCAGTGTGACCGATGAGGTGTTCCTTGAGGCTCGAGAATCCGGTCAAGACCGAGGCGTCAGTACGATCAGGCCAGGTGCCAGTGCTGCCGCCCTCGCGGTTCCATTCGCAGATGTAGCCCAGAGGGGAGATACAACCGCTGGCAGCGTCGACGGTGCTGGTGGTGTACAGCTGAGCACCACTCTTAAGGGAAGTGTCGGTCATAGGGGTCTTGACGTTGTCGAAGTAGTTACCCTCCAAGAGCACCCAAGTGTTGGTGTCCACATCAAACGCATGTCCGTCAATATCTTGGAAGTAGTTGTTGACGCCATGGAAATAGATCTTGGAGTCGTCGTAGTCGGTGCCCATGTGAGGAGCACGGCCAGAGAGATCATGAAGCCAGTTACCAGAGAAGGTATACCAGTCTTCCAGGCCCAGAAGAAGAAGAGACCAGTAGTGCTTGCCATTGCAGCCAGCTGACCATTCGGTGACACCGTCGAACTCATTGTTGGAGATGGTGACATGGCCGCCCTTGTTCCAGCCGCTGACGATCATCTGACGACCGATAAGGGAGAACTGGACAAATCATTCATTAGTATCCTACTATACACAATGAAGCGAGCAGATAGAAGAGATTAATATACCTTATTGTGGTCAATCCAGACGTTATCGGTGCCATCCAAGGTGAGTGCATCACCGCCCCAGACGTACTGAGGGTTCAAATCCTACACCAAATGACACCAATCAGTCCTCGTATTCCGACATTGCTGCGAACCAAGCTTGACCTCTTACCGTGATATGGATGTTCTGGATGATGACATTGTTGGCACCACCAGTAAGGCGCAAGCCCTTGCCCTTGAGGACTCCCTTGCTACCCACACCGACAATGCTCTTGTTGCTGCCCACGTCCAGTGGCTTCTTGGCAGCGTTGTCGTAGGTGCAAGAGACCCAGGTGCCATCATCGCACTTGTCCTGAATCCATGCCTGGCCGGCAGAGGTGCCACCAGGGCACTTCGTGGTCGTATCTGAGCTGCAGCATTTGCCGGAGGTCTGGCCTTCCGTGTTGGTGAAATCCCACTCGCGATCAATGAGGATTACACGGGCCACATCGTCAGTGATCCAGCTCTTCAGCCTGTCTCACAGTTAGAGAGCTTTTCACCTTGACCACGGATTGAGATTTATCTCTTACTCGTCAAGACTGGATGGGGTTTGTGGTGTTGCATTTCCTCCACCGGTCGTTCCTTGAGCAAATCCAAAAGCCGTACCGCTGACTCCGGCTGCACTGACCGGGCTCAGCAGCATCGCGGCCAGCATGGGAAGGAGAGAGGAATGCATTTTTCTATTTTTGAGAAATGAGCCTATCGTACTCTGGTTTCAGTGTTATTTTGGAATTCTTCAGCTTGGTTGTCGTTCTCCAGCGGACTTTATAATCGGCGGCAGTGTCCGTGCACGCTCAATGGTACAATTGACGCCCATCTCATGGCTCCCTCGACAGGTTCGCCGTTGCTCGTTGGCGCGCCCCATCGAGTCTCAGCTTAAGAGCAGGTGATGGGGACGTGCCAGGACACCGGAACTAGGTGGAAGGGTTTCTATGGCTTCAAGTTACCCGAACCAGGAAACGAAATTGAGCAGGGGAAGGGGAGAGTCTTGGCATAATCTATTCTAAACCTCAATTGCTTGACTGTCAGACAGAAATTCATGCCGGTAGAAATATTCCGACGCTATCGGTTGTTTAAAAACTGGACCCCCACCGGGCTAAGACTCAACTCGGCTCCTTGACCGACGGAGTGGATCTCCGTGGCCTTTTTTTAGGTCGCTTCTTTCCCTCTCAGCCAATGGCATCACAATTTGCTTTTAATGCTCTCTGTTATGGTTGATGGCGCTCAGTCCACCGTTAGGGCTCGTCAGGGACCAAGGAAAACGGCAGCATTTCGGACTGACTCCGGAAATGATCAGTGCCTTTCGACAGACAACTTCCGGATGCGACCTTGGCAGTGAGCAGCATGGGCCTTAACATGTGGAAAACAGGCAACAGCTAAAGGGCGATTTTCTTTTGGTTCGCCAGCTGAGTTCGCCGTACATTCGCCATGTCGGGTCCCTTGGATAGCGTTGCCCCGGAAAAATTAACGCTAACTCGATAATATTAGAGGCTGAGACAGGACCCTTCTTTCTTTCAATAGCTCCTCAGAAAGTATTGACATCATGTCTCGCAAACGCTGGACTAGTGACAATAGTCAGCCATGGCCGTTCTCAGGGCTTTACAATTCATTACTTTTACCAATCGTGGACATTTCCTAGATAGCTCTAATTCAAGAATGGAATCCTCATTCTTCTGGGACCTATAGTCAACCGAGTTTGTTTTGACCAGAAACAGTGGCACCGTATAAATCCCACCAATATAGGGTCGTGTCGAGCAGGAACATTCGCACATGTGGACGGAGAGGATCATGGAAAGGCGCGAGGCGAAGGTGGAATGCGGCCGGAATGATTTTATTGAGTCAAGTGATTGCAATACATCCCACAATATGAGGCTATGTGTAGGTCCTCGGCAATTAAATGCACTATCCTCCTTGTCTAATGCAGGATAGATTGCGATGCGCATTGCAGAATGATGTAAGTTCCAAGATGATTCGTCCAACACCCAGCCCTAATTGGCGCTAACCTCGTACTCTACGGATCTCCTCATCCTCAGCCATGGCGAGGAACCGTGAACCCTCTCCGTCGCCTATGGAAATCCTTCACTACAACGCGCGCAGCCTGGTTCTGCTCTTCGCTTAGCGGACAAAACGGAGCCGTCAGCCTCCAAAGCGCTTCCACCTTCATCTCATTCTCCTGGAAGTTTATCACCAGCTGACCCTTTGTAGAATAGCTTCGACCCTCACTTCTCTTTCTTCCGTGATTAGACCGACCATGCGCCGGGAATAAATCAAACACGCACTTGATGCATTCGAAGAGAAGAGTGTTCAGCAATGCCCCCCTTTCCTTAGCGTCTACCTTCTGCATCATCGTCTGACAAAAATGCAACCCTAGATATCATTAGTACCTTAGCCCCGATAGATTATAGTCGCCACTTAGAACTTCCTAAGTCTGTCAGCTGGGGGAGTGACGCTAACGGTTTCAAAGTCCCGCATTGTCTTGGTGCCAGACATGCACCTCAACTCATGGTTTGCGTTGGTTATTCATCCTGGTTTGTGTGCAGGATTAGTACATGTGATTGTCCACTGTCCCATATACGAATCTCATATTCCGGAGTTTGGCAGCTCCGGCCGGGGAAAATACCAAGCACCTCAGGGTATTCGAAGACAGATGAGGGACGATGTCCGCCGGCTGAAAGCCCTTGAAGGGCGTGCGTAGGCATCATTACGAAATAAGATGGACATATAGAAGAGAAATAACCTGATTATATTTATGGGTGTTACAGGACTGACCAATACGAAGGTAGATTACGTGGCAAGTTGATAATGAAAAGGGTTTTGCATCCAAATAAGAATACCGTGATGGCTCCTGATCAGTCTACTTTACGTGCATAGGCTAACTAGCCTTACCAACATGGATATGTATTTGCCGCCTTTTGAGTGAGGCATTTGCTACTAGTCTTTTAGGAACAACACGGTGAGCTATCCCACAAAGTCATCTACGCCAAATCTTTTATTGACGAATGTGATTTGTTCCTTAATGCAGCCGTCTGAACATTGACTGGATCGCACATTTTCCCTAGTAATTCTAAGATAGAATGTTTATGTATCGAAAGCATTGATCTTGATCGGTCAGTTATCATCCAAGATGCTGAAATGATTAGACTCGCTCTTCCTTACAGCTTACTTGATACATCAGTGCCACCCAGTGAAACCCATCCAGGTCCCATGAAGCCCTATCTCGCCGTATATGTCTCTAGGTTCTATGCTTCGACCATTGCGCATACGAGGCAAGATGGTCTTAACGACTACAGAGCAAGACATGAAACGCCTCTATCCTGAAAGTATTACACATTTATTATTTTCAATAATCCCCTGGTTCGATAAGATTGTGTCTGGCCTATGATCAAACTAACCACCGAAGTCCGGCCATCCGTATATAGAATATCCTCAGAGGTCAACAAATGCATTGACTGACAGATCCATTCAGTTGTAGAAGATCGCCATAGTTGGGACACGGTAGGGTTGCCGCAAGTTGCTTACGCAGACCCACTTGATGCAAGGATGTTATCGGAGTTAAGAACATTGAAGCGTCAGCAGGTCACGTTAGTATTGGGTATACCTGCATTATCTTATGGCCATATAGCTGGATGGCTGCTTGCTTCTGGCGAACTTCTACTATTCAGTCATAAGAGTGTACGTTGTTGTTCTTACCAATGGCGATATAGGTAGCAGAACATGTCCCATTACGGATTTCATTATCGTCTACACGAAGATTATGCACTTCCACAGTCATCTGGAGGCAGTACGAGTACGTTCACACTGCTGAGCTCCTCACTCCAGGGATATTTCATACCCTGCAGCGGCCTGACGATCTGCATAGCACGACAGTCGAATTATAACTCAACATTCAGGACATGTTTCAGATAAGTCATTTAGGACTTAATACCCTATCTCCAGAGTAAGCCTATTGCATATCGCCAGGTTTACGATTATGTAGCCAGGCGAAGTCTCGACCGAATGGCTGTGCGATATAAACTTACCATTCTCCCCATGGGCATCATTCAAAAACAATCGTGAACAGCACTGATATTCTAAGGCCAATGGCATTGGTCATGTCCGCGTTCATTACTACATTTCTCGGCGTTGGCCCGGCCATGGCCCTTGGGGCAGCGTTAGCCAACCAAGGAAATACCTCTGTTTTACCCGAATGTGTCCAAGCAGTAAGTACTCATATTGCTATTGCGAACAGGTTCCTGAAATGGTTATAGTGTTCCCATTTGGCGAGTATCTTCGGTCCAGATGCGTACTCTCTCGGCAATGCCAACGTTACTCTCTGGGATGCAAAGCAGCAGGCAACGCATTCCGCCTGTTGGGTCCAGCCCTCTTCGACTGAGGACGTGTCAACCATTCTGGGCGTTATCATCAACACCTCATGCCGATTCGCGGTTAAGGGTGGCGGCCATGCGCGCGACCCCGATGATTCTGTTTCAGCTGGCGGCGTCACCATTGACATGCAGAAGATGAGATCGGTCGAGGTTCCCCCGGATCAGAAGACAGCCAAGGTAGGGAGTGGCCATGTTCTGCTAAGTTTGTATGAGGCATTGGAAAAGTACAATCTGACCACGCTTGGCGGACGAGTCGCGGATGTTGGTTTGGGAGGTTATATCCTGGGTGGAGGATTCTCGCATCTATCGCCCAAGTATGGCCTCGCCATGGATAATGTTTTCGAATATGAGGTATGGGACATTACATCCTTGGTGTACTATGGCGCTAACGCTGTTTAGCTCGTTTTACCCAATGCCACAGTTGCGATTGTCAACCAAGAGTCACACCCAGATCTTTACTTTGCTCTCCGGGGAGGCATGAACAATTTTGGTATTGTCACGCACTTTACTATGAGGGTTGTGCGACAAGGTCAGATGCTCGGAGGGGTCAGAGCCTATACGGCCGATAAGAGGGACGCTATTCTGAAGCAGGCCTACGAACTAACGACGAGTTGGAAAAACGATACGAATATGGCATTCTTCTATAGCTATGGTTATCACCAAGAGAGAGATGACTTTACCCTTGCGGTTAATCAGGAGTATTATTTACCGGTTCTAAGCCCCGCGCCATTCAAGCAACTCAATCGAATCCCGTTCGAGCACAGTACTGTTCGCCTTGATCAGACCAGTCGGCTCAGTATCGAGAGTGCGTCGGCAACACCGCCTGGTGGTCGGTAAGTTAAATAAGTCAGTCTGTGTGCAATAGGTCATATTAGATTAACTGGTGACAGAAACCTATTTGCCACTGTTACGTACTCCCCGTCCGTGGACCTTGACAGGCAAATTCAGGATATAATGGCTCAAGAGATACAGTCTCTCAAGAAAGCACCCGGGTTTTATCCCAATCTCGTTATCCAACCGTTGTATGAGGCTGCCATCCGTGCGGGGAAAGAGCGAGGAGGAAACGCTGCCGGTATAGATGCCGATGGACCTTTGACAGGCATGTACAAAACCAACGTCTCACGCTGCTGCTGCAACCCAGGTCCTATGCTAAACTTGGTACAGTTGCCCTATTGACTGTCCTATGGGGAAATGCAGAGGATGACGAACGGATGAATGCGTTCGCACAAGAATGGGTGGAGAGGTCCACTGCTACAACCAAAGATGCCGGCAAACACCATCCTTGGCTCTATATCAACTACGCCAGCAAAGCCCAGGACCCGTTTTTGAGTTATGGAGAGGCCAACCTGCAGAGGTTGAGAAGGATTCAGATGGAGGTTGACCCCCAGGGCGTGTTTACGTCGGATGGGCTGTGTCGGGGATATTTCAAGTTATAATAAGCTATTGAGAATTGGCTCAGTGTATTTCGCATGGCTTCTCATCGGCTACAGATGCAGAGATCTGCTTGCAAACTCTACACCGCACTATCAGGGTTGCTCTCTACGCGAACATGAAAGGGCTTCTGACACATTGGGCAAGTATAATGATAGTTCAAGAACCACGTTTCCAGGCACTGGCTGTGAAACACATGTCGGCAGGGAAGAGTGTGAATTGGACACCTTTTAGAAACGGGCTCGAGGCAGATCGCGCTTGCAGTGTATGAGCCCAAATGAATCCATTCAACAGCAGATGTTGCAAGGCAAGAAAATTAACTTACCAGTCAAATACACGATCGTAGTCTTTGAGGGGACTGCGCTCGGTTTGAACCGATCTCCACCACGTAATAAACGGTTTGGTTGGCGCGACTCGTTCCAGAAGATTTAGTCTTCGCTCTTCCTCGGTGGCTGTGGGGACAGAGAACGAAGGATCTAAGATGGCACTGAGGTCCAGATTCAGTGTCGTAAAATAATAGCTTCGCAACAGAACCCTGTAGTAGTTCTTAATGATTAGTATTCTGCGCAACCGATCATCAGCCGATGACATATGCTAGTTATGCTTGAGACCCAGCAATAGGACCTACCAGATGGCTGTAAGTACATAAATAAGGACGCAGATGGCGAGTAGTACGCGGATTTGCAGATGAATATCGGTGGTGTGGTTCATGCCTTTCCCTTCTGTCTCTGTCGAATTCATCTCTAGATGCTATTAAATAATCTTATGGAATCCTCCGGTACAATATTAAGAACGATCCTTCTGGGGATGATGGCCAGCGTGTCTCTCTTTATATATAGGACTGTAAAGGAGGGCTCACCCTAAACTTTAATTCGTCCAAGTTAATCGCTCAAGTGGCCTGAGAACCCAGTGAGGGGAATCACAATCCACAACTAACCCAAACATACTCTCATGAGTACCACGAAATCATGAGGGGAAGATCCACTGTCTGTTGCCAATTTATCTTTAGGCTGAACGCTGTGAGTTGTGAAAGATATCCGCCTGAAACACTGGATCGATTTGCCGGGAGAAGCTTGCACGCTGCCGGATGTCGTCATGCAATTCATGATCTACGTTTTATATACACCCCCCCGGCGATCATTTCCTGGTACTTGATCATTACCCTATTGGGCTACGCGTGAAGTGAGGTACATGAGATATGGGCGGTTATTCCTGTAACAGAGGGGATGGGCTTGAGTCGAGTATCTTTTATGCATTAGAATCACCTGCACTCTTGGCTGGTCTGAGTTTATTCTACTCGGATTTCGATTTATAAAAATTAAATTACATGACAACAGGCTGCAAATGAAGAAAGTCAGGAAGAAATAAATGCATTTTAGTCTCGCTGAATACGCCTGGATGAAGAATGGTGACACTCCCAGCCCATCACGCCCCGTATCAATTTCCCCTATATACACACCCACCTTGACGAGGAAACCATCGTATTTTGATTGTGAATGTCGAATGGCCCAAGCAAACGCCATATATGTAAAGACTAAAGACTGAGAGAGTGCGTTTTCATATCACTTCACCTTATCAATTTGAACTCCAGTTCCCCTTCACCTATTCCTCGACTTTCACCTTCTTCACATCCCAAGTCGAGGCCACCTTTGGAATAGTCACCGAAAGCACTCCATCCTTCAGTCGAGCATGAGTGTTCTCCTGATCCACGGCGGATGGAAAGCTGAACGACCGACGGAAGTCCCCAGTGGCGCGTTCAGATATCCACCAGGACCCTTCCTCCATTTCAGACACATGCTCTGTATGCCCTTTAATATTGAGAGTGTGCGCGTCAACATACTCGATCTCAACATCGCTTAGCTTCACACCGGGGAGTTCCCCTTCCAGCTGGTAGGTATCCTTCGATTCGCGCATGTCGAAGGTTGGTGCATATGCCCGGGGATGCGGATCGAGGCTATGCCCTGATAGATAACGGTCGTAGTCATCCAACATTCGCTTAATGGCGGAAGGGCCTCGGTGGAACTGGGGCATCAGAGTCATCGCTCTGGCGTTCGGGAGCCTCCCTTGCGCAGCGACGATGCATGGCTCCACTCGAGGCTTGGAAGCGATGGCAAGCAGGCTCGGGATACGACTGGAAATTGTGCTGAGGTTGCTACGATAAACCATGTCGGATATATGAATGCTGGTGCTGGATAGCTGGATTCGAATGAGGTGACAAGGAATGAAGTCGGTATCATGACACAAGAGCAGCTTTGAATCACGCCACTGAGCGAGATATTTCGGGTAAAAGGTCCATTAGTATTGGGCCTTGGGAAAGTCTGCCACGTCTAGAACGATTGGATGTGGCGAGATCACTTGAACAAGCGTTTGGGGGTTTAAGTTCGCGGTGCCTCTGGTTCTGCGGAGAAAGCTTGGAGACCAACCACAAGGTCGTGCCAATATCCTGACCCCAGGAGACCAAGGCCTGGCCTGCAGTAGACACGCTGGGCAATGGCTCTCCTTGTTCAGCGGAGGAAAGCATCTGACTGAAAGTACTCATTATAAGAGCGAAGTGGTGTTACATGTACTGAATCATTAAATCTCCCCGAACACCAACGACATAATCATGGCCGAGTACTATTACTCTTGAAAGAAGCGAACATAAATGGACAGAAACCACTCGAGTCTCCTTCGCATATGCGAACGAAAATTGGACGAGGAATGTGCCCATGCCGACCGTGACTTGCGCATTCTAGTGGGCCACACGAATATCCTCAATGCATTGTTATCGGCCCCGATCCCGATCTCAAGCCTTGTGGACCAACAGGAAGAATCTGTTGCGATACAGCTCGGGGCTGAATTTAAGGCTCCACCCCAAAGCCTTCCCATAAGTACGATGGGTCTCATCTCTGCCGATGGGCTCGATTACGAGGTGCTGCTACCATCCTACGACTGACTGAAACGATTTCGCTGCAACCCTAAGTGAACGGATCCGTGTATGCCAATATACGTGGATCTTATTGCTCGCTCTCATATCCTGTTTCGGTCTGGAAGATTGTTGGCGCAACATTTATAAGTGATCAAGCACCACATCCCTTGAGTGAGGACTGATTTTTAGTCCCCACGCAAGCTTGGCGGGCTGGCCGATCTACTATGGAGTGGAGGATCTGAAGGCATCTTGAAAATATTAGACACAAACTATCAATGAAAATGTCCTAGTAATATTTCTCCATCTTATAGGGGTTGCAACTCCCGTGCTGCCTAGAAGGGGAGGTGGAGCTCGAGGCCGTTCTCGCACCCCAGTTCCCTGTTTTAAGTACGAAAATAAATCTTATTAAAAAAATAATAATAATAATTAGGTCTAGAACGAACCTAGTGTAAAAAAAGAAAGCCGGTCTAAGCCTGGCCAAAGTCCTGTTTTAGACTATCGACTTTTTATCAATCTCCCAGACACTACTGGGATGAAGTCCGAATTGATGGCTATCGGATGATTGATCGCCTTCGCGCGTATCCTTTTGTTCGACCTTCACGTTATAGCTCGTACTAATATAGACGTCGTAACTTCCATCCTGACTAGACTCATTAATCGCCTTCATACTCTCCCGCCGTGTGCTCTTCTTTGTCCGTGTCGTCAAGTTGTACGATTCCGATCCTCCATGGTATCCGTATGGATGACCGCTGGAGCCATCCTCCACGTAATTCGACCTCCAAAATCTCTTGGTGAATAGCGGACGCAGAATGGGAAGGTTAACTGTAGCGACACCGACAAAGGTTTCCCGGATTCCCCATCGGTTCACGGTGATACTAGACGGTTCTGCTTTTAATGTGAGAGTGGTTCGAATAAGCGACGCGCTGATGACGAAGATGCCGGAGCTGAGGAATATGGCGATAACGAGTTTTCTATTCACGATCAGGTCAGTTAGAAAGCGTCTTCTCTCGGGTGATCCCTGCATGTACAATGGATTGCGTATTACCTCGAGAACGATGTTTTTACTTTCCAGAGTAATGGGATTGGGATGAAAAGCCTGCATCGATGGGATGTGAGTAGGAAGGAACATTCTGAGATGTCCGGATTCCTTACAGAGCTAAGTCAGTGCTATCAGGAACTGGTCAGCTTGACTACACATATAGGGAATTGCGGTAGATTTGCATACGTGACGTTCAAGATGCATGTCACTATAACGTTTTGGATCTTGAGTCCACACCTTTCTGGAAGGTAATTAACATCATTGCAGCCCTTGGGGGTGAAACAGTTCCTTACTAGAGGGCGGAGGATATACTCTCCAGTTATCCGATATACTAGGCAGGGTGCATTAGCGCATATGGGCGTATGGAAGGAGATAGATATCCAGGAGCGCTTACGGAAAACATCCAAACGTCACGGTTAGAAACACCGCAATGTAGGTAATCCCACAAAACGCCGCGAGCCATTTAATGACCCGAGATTGCCATAACCCCAGGGTTAAACGCTTGCTTTTGTCACAAGGATTTCGTCTTAGTTTCCAAGTGCGTGCGATCACGGTGAAACATAGGTTCTTACTATAGGAAGAGCATTTTTGCTTTCATGACCCAAATTAGGGCTGTGTAGGAATACCAGGCAGCGAGTTCCGCCTTGGAGCCGGCTACAACGGAAGAATATTGGGTCGGTGTGAGGGAATCATGTAGGCCGTGTGGTATCTCGAGATTAGTACCTAGCACGTCTTCTTGGATTTTAGCATTGATGGCACCAACCCACGGGGGGTATGTCCTTACATGAGAGGTGTACTGTTACAGCATCCATAGTCAGGAGGCCTATTGCCTAGTACACTTCTTTAACATTCCAGGATACTGGCAAGGGCGTCAGTAAGAAGAGTGGATCTTACCAGAAACGCGAAATAATCATCGCCTTGAAAGCCTCTAACACCAACCGTCCGGATCCGGACACCCATTCGCACAAATACAATGAGAGCGCCGAGTCCGAATTCTGTCCATTGTTCAGGGAGAAATGACTTGTCTTCGTAAAAGCCAAGATCTGCCATAACGAATGACAAAAGAACAAGGCCCTTGTGTGGGATGAAAACGCGACGCTGTGCATCAACTAGCTCAGGGTCAAGTGGGCTACTGCATGCATGATATAGGAGATGTACTTCGAGGCAGGGGAGCCAAGGTGAGGAGATTGACGTTTGCTAATGGATTGGTCCCAAAAATGGGGAAACCTACACCCTAGTGCGAACACAGATTGTCATAGGGGATGGCCACTCCGATCTTCATGGGCTTGGAAAGTACTCTACGATCGAGGAACCTTATTCTAAGCCAGACAAGATCCGCTTCAATCATGGATGCACTTATCACTTGCCTGTTTGGGGGTAGCGAAGATCCATCGCCGCGGCTGGCACTCCGAGATCCACTCCCTGGGCACTTCGTCCCCAACTTGTTTCGATAGAGTCAGCTGCTAGGCCGTTAGGGCTTTCATTGCTTTTTCATGGACGGTATAACAAACAACAACCATGGTCCAGATCGGGGCAAGCTCGTCCTCAAGTGTTCTAGGGGCAAGATCAGAATCACCCTTTCAGGCACGAGTGCTTCCAAAAAAAAAAAAATGAGCCATTCTCCGAACCAGGGATACGATAGTGCGAGTTTATCCATTGCGACAGCATGCCCGAACGAGAGCCGATGCCCAACATCGAGAGCCTTGACTTCTACTGGGTCGCATACCCGAGATTGCTCCTAGTTGACGATGGATTTTGAGAGCAATGGAACATCGAGGCCCCTGATCAGCAGATTTCGTATACATGAATGGACTGGAACGGTCGAAGGATCAATGGATTCCCCACCAGTCATAGTAAATTTTATTAATGGTTCAGCTCAGCTTTGGTTGGAGTACGAAGGGTAAAACCACCAGCGGTACACCATGTGGGCCGAGGTCCATAAACCCAACGCCGCGGGCCGCAACCACTGGCATCATTGGGCCACCAGCTGCATTTCCTCGCTCTTAGTTGGTTGCCAAGTCGTGTCTGGGCGATTGAGATCCCTTATTTGGGTCAACTGCACGGGACATTTTTCCTTTGACATCGAGAAGTTGCACTTAGGGTTCTGGCTCCCAAGTGCCCATCTCAGCACGAGCCAATAGGGGCGCATTGGCAACTTCATTATAGTGACCATAATTATTGCCTCGGTTTCTAAATATATCGCAAGAGGTCTTCTGAAAGGCATTGTTTCTAACAGAATACTCCGTACAACATCACCAGTTATGCATCCTGGGCACAACGGTGGGTGGATTCCAAGCCGAAAGGGGTAGCATAAGTGCAAGTAAAACGTACTATGTAAATTCATACAGACCTTGTGTGGGAATTCGCTCGTTCCCCACGGACGAAGAGATTTCTCAGGGTCCAGGGAACCGAATTTAGGAGATGTGGAGCTGAACACGCAGGGACGATGTGGTATCCACACCAGCATCAGTGGGTATGACCTAATATACAATCGCAGTCTACCCAACCATATGCTCGTAGGTTGATTAAGCCATGTGCCGTCGTCTCATCTTGTAACTAGGATAACGACTTAGCGTGAACCATACAAAACCTCTTATGCCGTTCTATACCGTGTGTGCTTCGTCTAGCACAGGCACGGCAGAGACCCAATTGGGTCCCTCAACATGTACTAATTTTGAATCCTTCATAGAACTTTCGCCCTCGTGTAAGCTTTTCACTATGCCGAGTACTGGCAGAGTCACGACAGAGGAGACCCTCACAAGATGCGAGGCTACTGTGTGATACGTACATGGATTGGCGCTGATTATAGCCGTCTTTCCTTGGGTATATGACAACCGTTTCCTTCAACGGTTAATGGTCCATTAAATGGGTTCACTTCACTCGGTCCGAATTTGGCCAATCCATGTATTTCATTTTCCTAAATTCTCTCGGATTGTTCCCCTCTCTGCTTGTCCCGACAGATCCCCACCCTGGACAGAAGAGCTTTGGGGTACTGCAGGTTTGACTTCTCGATATTCCACATTTCCCACACTGGTCAATTATTATTCTCGAAGCAATTCTGCGTCCCAACTTCAAATGATCCATACCGTTCTTCCCCGAACCGACCCGGTCAAGACGATCGGTAATATGCTCAACATAACCTAGATCAGCGACAGCACCAGCCGGCGAAGCCGAACCTCTCCAGCGCTCAATCAGACCATCGACTCACTAGGTTAGGACAAAACCGCTAGTGCGATTGTCCGGATCAAGCTGTACAGTTGCACAAAGCAGGACCATCCAGGTCTAAACGGCCATAAAGTTGGGATATTTGCGGGGGTTGTTGATCCATATTGGCCAACATGGGTTTTCCGAGGGTAGGGCAGAAACCTTGTTTGATTTATGCGCGAATCGAATGTATGCATGAACCTCAGCATTACCAATAGGGTTATGTAGCTCACCAATAGCTTCACGCAGGTACGAGACGAACCGCGGTAAAGAACGTTAGCCCACTCAAAATACGTGCAGCGATTTAAAGTAACCCCTTCGGGCCCGAACACCTTTTTGCCATCCGTCAATTCCGAAAGTCAATTATTGACATGACGTCTCCTCGACTCTCAATCTCAATTCCTCGGCCGAATGTTATGGAAACATCCCCATCGTTGCGAGTCACATTTGTCCTTCGATCTCCAGAACTGATATGAGGCCGTCCTGTCGTTCGGGGCCTCTTGGCAATGGTGAGGTGATTGCATGAGATGGCAGTCCTTTGAATCACACATCCAATCGCTGGTTATTTTGATCATTCTGAGGGGACTTGATCCACACAGTATTTTGCAAGCCTCCCATAGTAGAGAACCTTTCATTGAGTCTCGACATGAGCTAGTTCGTACATGACGTTTTCCACTGATCCTCACGCTTCAAATTACTCGTCTGGGGCAATGGGGATGCACTCCACTTCTGTCAACATGCTCATTCCAATCATTTCTATCCCTCGGCACTTCCCTTCAAGCAATGAAGTGTGACCCTCCCGGCAAATGAATCCTTCAGACCCCATGGGCAAGCCTGCCAAGCTGACCGATTTCCGGTCTGGAATGTTCTGCTGTGCTGGTCGTCAAACTATTATTATGACTGGCACCACATCTACAACACCCTGGAAGGACACGTGCTACTCTATGCCCCAGACCACAGGCTACAGAGTCTTGATCAGCCCTTGCGTAGAGCACTTCAACTGACGTCAGATCCGTTCAATTGTCTTCTCGATAGTCGAGAACGTCGCTCGATATTGTATGAGCTGTAGCTGGGTTGCTTTTCCTAACGCAAGAAAAGCACCCAGGGAGAAACTCTGGTTCTGGAACGCTGGTTAATATCCATCTACTTCTGCCGAAGCCTCTGAATCGCCGGATCTAGGGGTGTCTGTTCTGGGGATCCAACTATGATTCTCCGACATTGCGATGAATGCTCGCGTTACCCGATCCTACTACCTTTGGCGATGTGTTATATACATCGCAGAGACGGTGTTCCTTGTCCATATCCCTGAGTATCGTGACTGTAGAAAGTTGTTGCATCCGTGCTTAGCTATAGCTAAAGGCGTAGTGTTAGAACAGGCTGGGTTGAAAGTGAGCAGGTAAGCCTTTCTGAGCACACTTGATCTACACGCAATGTAGCTGCACATGGCTGATCTGGATTACAGGGCGCTAGCATGGCCAGCGGTTGCATAGTGACTTTGAATATCAATGTTCATTCATTAAAATGCTTGCTCCAAGCCTTAGAACATGCTTCAACTATGTAAATAGACATGACTTCATTAATCATCCATACGTCGTGTCAACCAATTTTTAGGTCACGGCGTTACCGCGAGCCACGAGATGCGAGAAGAAAGTGCGGATATTAGTTCCATTGGCTCAAATGCACCGACCGGGCACAGTTCGAGTGCCACTGTTCAAATCAGAGAGGGTGGAAGACATTCGTCCATTCAGCAACCCTCTTCAGGCGGCTGAAGAGATGCTTTACCGCTGTTGCTTCAACTGCTTGCGGAACGACTCTTCTTGCCTGACCACCCCCATTGGGAGCGATCGACCAACACCGAACAGTACGAACGGTGCCCACTTCCACCGGAATGGGTTGACCAGGATCACAAACACAAACCAGTAGATCAGTTCGGAGTACGTGAAGAAGTCGAATGCGTTGGTCGGGGAATGCTGCTTCACAAAGCGGGTGAAATCGATCCAAGTCTTCATGCGACCCTCCGTGGGTTGCGTCAGGGGATCCGTCAAGAACATGAGCAAGAAGCGCGTGTAGATGCCAATGTGCATGTTGCCCACGGTTCCAATCGCGTCCACGTAGGTGCTATTGTTGGCGCAAATCTCGGGGTACTTCGGGGGAAACACCTGCAAATACCAGCTGGGTGGACTATACGGCTCTTCAAACGCATCGTCGGGCAAGAAAGATAGTGACGGACGCTTAAAGCCTGTCGCCATGATAATGACATCTCCTGTGACGACGGACTCATGGCCCGGGCCGCCCTTGGGCACCTTCCTGGCGCGGCGGTTGAAAAGGATGCCATTCTCCTTCACGGAGACAATATCTCCGCGCAGCCACCGAGCCTTGCCCTCCCGAATCTTGTCGAAGAGCTCCGAGTTAGCCATTGGCGTTGTCGTGAAGAGACCACCTGAGGGTGCAATATCCTCCAAGTCCCGATAGAAGAACTTGTGCAGGAGCCACTCCGGGATCCACGAAAAGGAGGTCTCCATTCCAAAGATGTTCAATGCCAGCAGGGACTGAACCAGCACGTTTCGGGGGATGATCCACTTATCCGACCGCGACAGGACATCGATTTCCGCCGCTTTCGACTGGACCGCGAACTCCAGGGCCTCAATGGCGCTGGCACCGCCACCGATGATGAGCACCTTTTTCCCTTCCACATCCTTGCCATCCAGTTCCGATGAGTGGTAGATCTTGCCCTTGAATTGCTCCTGGTCGGGCAACGGCGGCATCTTCGGGTCACCACAGACACCAACCGATGCTACCACGCCATCAAAGCGGCCGTACTTCTCTTCGTCATCATTGATGATCCATTTGCCATCCTTCGCCTGCTTCACGGAGGTCACAGGGGTTTCGAATGCCGTGTGCTTCTGCAGACCATAGCGCTTCCACACATCTACGATTTGCTCCCGAATCTCTCCTTGAGTCGGATACGCGTTATCGTATTTCACCGACGGATGAAATCGGTACATAATACTATGAATCTGCAAGGAGGATGTAGAGTTTACTCTCTATGAACTCATTGTATCAGCCATTGTCCGGTAATCTGGGAATCAATGAATACAAACGTACACTCCAGATACCTCCCAGTCCCTTTGCTTTGGAGCGTGCCTCAAAGATTTGTACGTCGAAACCATGACCCACACAGTGAGCTGCCGCCGACACGCCCGTTAACCCAGCACCAATGACTGCCACTCGTTTTTTGGGAAGGCCATTGACGAGTGCAGCGGGTGGTGGCGGGGCAGGAGCGAAGAACCAGTTGATGGCAGCTTGAACTAGGAGATAGAAGAAGGTGAAGGTGCCAACGAAAGGGTGTTTGATGAAGTCCACCCAAGAGGACTGAGATGTCCCTGGCTGAACCATCGTGGCTGGTTTTGCGAATTCAATGAAACTGTCCCGTCAATTTGATGCCCAAGGAAAAGCAGGAACCGATTGTGTGCCAGTTTTCTGTTGATTGTTGTTTGTGTGCAAAGAAGGACAACGAGGGGAGATTTGAGGCCCTTTTTCAATGGCAGCAAGATGCAAAACCATGACGTAGTGGGTGGATCACGTTTGTCGGAAGGTTCTTTTGTATTTTTTTCAATGCATGTGAAAAGGCCACGCAAGGATGCTCAATGGTTTCATCATACGGGAAGAGACCTGGTTCGAATCCATGCTGGCTCCATTACGTTATGTGGCTCCCTCATGCCATTCACATCTTGTGGGGTCTCTCTCTCTCTTTCTCTCTCTCGCTCTTGCTGTGTATAACCTTAACCTGTTTTCTCAGGCATCATCCCTTCCCAGCTGCATCTTATCTTATCGGGGGATTGCCCGATCCCGTTAGCTCCGTCTCTTCCAACCAGTTTCCTTCATACTGACAAGGGACTAAAGAACTATTTTCATGTGTTCTTGGAGTCCAACTTGTTCATATGAAATTCATATATTCTGGCATGGAATCCCTCGTCAAAACGTCACTCGGAGACGGTTGATCCTCATCGATTGACCGGAACACGATCAACCAAGTGCAACTAGTCCACATCACCGACTTCTTACTAGATATGTGATCAATGAGTAGGAATACCAAGTCGGAATTGGGTTGGGTCAATGACACTCGTCAATACTGTATGGACTGTGTTAAAACACAAAGAGCCGTGGATTCTGCCTGGCAAAACGTGACCTGTTCCCGATTGGGTCTAGGGCGGTCGTGGGAAAAGCATCCCGAGGATCCATTCAGAACTGCAAAACGATCATGTAATCTTCAATTTGTGTCGACTCGACCTCCACAGACCAATTCTACCTTGCCACCGTCGTGGTTCATACTCACACTTTGACTATCGAGTGCCGATAACCATGTGCGACTATCGCTAAAGCTGTTTCCTCAACGCGTCGTGTGAACTCCAACGCCCATGACGATTTGCCTTCTCCCACCGGCTGCCATTCCTTGACGCTCGTCCACACCCCCAACCATCTCTCTCGAACCCTTACCCAAAAATGGCCACGCAAGGTGCTCCAGTCCTCGACAGGTTCCTGTCGGGGATCTCAGAGATAATTCGGAATCGCGACGGCTCGAAGCTTCAAGACTTCCTACAGATTGAGCCTCCGTTGTCCGACATTTACCGACAGATGGTCGAGGAGTTACGGCGACAATATCCCAGTGGATCGAAAGAGGCTGATCTCCTGCGCCGATGCGAAGGGCTCGTCCCGCGCACCAAGAACGGCAGCTCATGGGCCGCTTTTCCGACATTCATGAAGCTATATTTCACCTTTCTCCGCGATGTGAATGTCGACAACCTACTCGAAACCTACAACCTGCTGAAAGGGCTGGTGAAGTAAGTCCTTCTGGATGTATCCTTCACCTAAATCCCTCCCTAGCACTACTCTCTATGGGATATTACCGCCATCGAATGTAGTGCTGGGCTCCTGTCGTCCTGGTCGGTTACTGATTGTTTCTGCGGTCGTCTCCGCCCATAGCCAGTCTGTTCTTGCGCTCGGTGACAGTCAATACGGTGTGATCGTGCTGCCGACCGTCCTTTACCTTTCCAAAGTCCTCGCGAAGCTGGCCATGGGCCTCGATCGCCGCCCCGAATTGATCGCACATTTACTGAGAATGGAGGGTCGCTCCGATCAGGACGAGAGCATCGAGAAAGTGACCTTGGTCGAGAAGTCCGCCAATGTCGTCCGGGAAGCATTCATCAAGTGTCTCACGGATCGCAGCGGAACCCCGGGGGTCCATGGCAAACCCGAAGGCAAGCGGGTGGGCATCTATCTCATGGCCAACCTGTGCCTGAAGTTGCTTTTCCAGGTACGGAGCCAGATCGAGACCGCTTCAACCGCTCCATTACACTGACACAGATGGCTCCAGTGCGGGAAACTCCGAAATGCAGAACAGATGTTTTCGAGTATCAGCGCCCAGTCTCCGCCCCTGAAATACTTCCCCGCCTCCCAAAGAGTGACCTATCTTTACTATCTCGGACGATATCTATTTTCCAACAATCTCTTTTACCCCGCCCAGATCGCCCTTCAATCTGCCTACGACCAATGCCATCACCAGGCCCTCAGCCAAAAGCGAGTCATTCTAACATACCTGATACCATGTAACATGATCATGGGTCGTTTTCCTTCACTAGAGTTGCTACAACGGCCGGAGTCAGAAGGCCTATCCGACAAATTCGTTCCGATCTGCCGACTCATCGTTCGCGGCGATTACATTGCCTTCCGAGAGCATCTTGCGCTGGATTCACCAGCCACCGAATGGTTTGCACAGAAGGGCATCTTACTTGCCCTGCGCAATCGGTGCGAAATCCTCGTATGGCGGGCGCTTGCTCGAAAAGTGTTCATCCACGGCGGCTTTCATGGTGAACCCCAAGGCTCCGCCCAGCGCGGACCGCCTCCTTTCCTGTACCTCCACAAACTCGAAACCGCCGTGCGATGGCTCCAATCGCAACATGCGCAGTCCATGCATGGCTCTCTCGGCTTCTCTCCGTCCGGCCAAAACCGCGACGCCCAGGCCGGGCGCAACGAGTTCGGATCGCAATTGGTGTATAAACTACCCGATCACGATTTCGCTGGAGTTAACGAGGTCGATGGACCGGAGTCCAAGCCGGACCCAGACTTGTTGTCCAAATTTGAAGACTTCCTCGTGCCAGACGGATGTTTTGACGTCATGGGACAATGGCAGTCCAATTCACCGGGGGTCTTAGTCGACGGACAGCCCGACGTCGACTACTCTCAGTATGAACTAGACCCCTATACCCACCGAGTCGAGCTAGACGCGGAAACTGATCAAGGAAAGCCAACGCCCATGATGCGAGAGCTTGAATCCGTCCTCGCGTCTCTTCTCACCCAGGGCCTAATGCGCGGCTACTTAACCCACAAGAATCCTCGGTTCGCCATTCCTGGTGCACGCCTGCGCGGCGCCTTGCCGACCGGGTTTCCAAATGTCTGGCAAACTATCTCCGCTCGCGAATCGGAGGATGGCCGGGTCCCTGGTTGGGTCCAACCTCCGCCACCCATGGCGGGTGGTGGTCTGGCAGCAGGCGGAGGTCGTGTCGTGAACCTGTCGGGGGCACGGCCAGTGGGCGTGCAGTAATTTAGGAAGTCCATCCAGAGTCTCGCACGACTGACTCCGTGACGCTTTCGGTGAATAGCACGATGTGATATATTATGATACCATTGATGTCCTTACAATCCCTATCCTGGCTTTGATATTGGCCACCCCATGGATGTTCCCGGAAGACTAGTCTAGAATAAAGATCAGACCGCGGAAAGTAAACGTATCACTTCCCACCCTCAGTCTTTCTTGCTCTTGATCAGGTAGTAGTCACCTCCTCTCCAAGCCTTATATACACCGTATAACCCGCACACCGGCCACGTCTCCCACACCATCCTCTTCGCCCAACCGACCCATCCCTCGGGGCCCCCATGCCCCATGAGACCCAAATTAACGCGCACCTTCTGATATAAATCTGGCAAATACGTCGCATGATATTTCTCCCGCAACGCATCATAGCGTTTCTGATCATAGATCGACCAAAACTCCTCCTCTGTATAGTAGGCATGGGCATACAGCCACTTCTTCCCGCCCAACTCCCGAACCTTGTTCTCCAAGCGCCGATTCTGCGCAACGAACGCCCCGGTATCCGACGCATGGGGGGACGGCGCCCACAATCCAAAGTTCATCAGACAGTCACCGTCATCATCGGGGTCCTCTTCCTTCTGAGATTGATGCGGGCCTGTCTCGGCGCCGCGAGCCATGATTCCCTGCGAATGATGCAGGGGACACAACCAGATCGGATACGCGCCGAAGGTTTCCTTGTCATCGAGCCAAGTGAGAAACTCCCCCGTAGCTTTGTACGGCACCGCCACATCCTGGATGATGTGTTGTTTTGAGAGCCCACTCTCGTGTAAGGCGTGATACATGACTCGGGTGTGCATAAAGGTATCCAGGATATACCGGGTGATGCGATTGAACGGTGTGATGAAGTAGCTGAAGGCGTATCGACCCGTCCAGAATGCGCCCCGATCGTACCGGAAGAGGTAATCTTGAATGGGGACGTAGTGGGTGACCGAGGCGGAGGGTTCGGCATTCGGGCGGTGGATTTTTCGGGTTTGGCGCTGCGCGTGGATGTAGAACCAGGGATCTTGGGCGCGTGTGAAGCGTTGGATGGGGGTTTTGTTGGAGGGCAAGTCGACCAGGCGACCAGCGCAGACGACGATGTGGTCCGGAGCATAGATGATGCCATCCAGGTATTCCGTTTCGGGGTGTGCGGTGGTCTCGCGGAAGACTGTCATCGCTTGGGACATGCTGGAGGTAGAGTGGTAGGTTAGTTCGACGTAGGGTTTTGCTTCGCGACATTGGATCTCGAGCATGGTTACGACGCCGAGGGTTCCGAAGGATGAGGCCGCCGCCCAGAAGAGTTCTTGCTCGTCGGGTACATTTTGCGAAGCTGTGCGGATGTCGCCGTTGGCTAGGACGACCTCGATCCGGTTCACGGTCGCATCGAAGAATCCGTGTCGAAAGGAGCTGCTCTCGCCCGACGTTCCGGAGAAGCCGCCGCCTGCGGTGATGCCAGGAAATTCCATGACGACCAGAGGGATGAGCCCATGAGGTAGGGTGGCCTTGACGAGTTCGTCCATGGGGACGTTAGGCTCAACCAGGATCGTCTTGCGGTCTGTGTCCACGGCCAGAACATGGTTCAACTGCGCGGTGTTGATGGTGTTGGCTGCGCTGTGTTGCGATTGTCGCGTGCTGTTCGTGGAGCCATGGTAAATGCGGAAAGGTTGTTGGCGTTTGTGGAATTGGTGGGCTTGGGCCGCGATAGTGGCGACAGCTATATTGTGAGCTTCCATAGTGCTATCCTGGAGGACGACATAGGTGTCCAGAGCGAAGCGATCCGGAGTGAAGTTTGTACGTACCTTTGGAATGCGGGTGCCTGTTGATGTGTTTTGATCGGGGCTTTTCCCCACTCGGAAAGTCAATGCACGGGTAATGACCTCATTGTTCTTCCAGATTAGATTAGATTAGATACCGGTTGGCATGAAAGCTTCTCGACACGATCTGTACATTGCCTCCTAGTCTATAAATTCTAGTTTTATTGCCAGGTTTATCTGGACCTTCGCGATGCCTGAGAGCGCCTCCAAGATACAAACATGAACAGAATCGACACCACTAGACCCAACCCCGCAAAGCCAATACCCAGGTAGAGAGCTCCTCGATAACCCCGGAGGACATTGCGTCCACCATCGTTCACATTCGACTCCACAGTCCCGGCAAATCCCAGTCCCAGAGAGATGGAGTAGTTCACCGTGGTAGTGACGAGGGATGCAGCGAGGCCTTGATGGTGGTGGGGCATGGAATTGCTGAGGATGAGCGTGCCGGATGGGAAGGACATATCCCTGTCGCAACATGTTAAGACGGTAAATTGGTTGGTTGGAGAGATAGTCAACTTACATGCCCCATGACGTGATAAGGCTGGCTACGAATGCCTGAGCCCAGTAGGTCTGATCCACGGGGACCGTTGCAAAGACGGACAGACCGGCCGTAAAGAAGAGCATCGCGCAAAACATAATGACACTGGGAGGCAGTCGGCCGAGCAGGAATCCTGTCAGCAGAGCCGCGATGGCACCAGACGGAGCCGCGGCAACCCATTTGGCTGTGGCCAACAAAGGAGTGTCACCCTTAATATCCTCCATAAATTGGTAAAAGTAGTAGATAATGATGCCAAAGCTGGACCACCCGGCAGCGATACATCCCAGCACCCACGCCAGGTCACCGGTTAAGACTGAGTTTGGCAGCAGCGGGCATTGGGCAATGCGTTCGATCCACAGGAAGCCGCCAAAGATGATAACGCCAACGATGAGCAGCACGTAGGTGTACGGTGTGGTCCATCCGACCAACGCAGCCTGGTTCCATGCAAAATTGATCAGCACGAGGGCAACGATACCGGCCACTGCTCCAAGCAGGTCTAGTCGTGCCCAAAGCGGGAGGTCCTTCTGGAAATGAGGTCGCGGCGTGTGCGGAATGACCAAAACACCCAGCACAGCAAAGGCAAGGCACACCATGCCCTGGACCCAGTATGCCCATGGCCACCACACCATTTGTGCCAAGATTGAGGAGAACACGCCCCCGACGATAAACCCGCTCGGCGCGGTGGCTCCAAAGAAGCTGAAGATCATCTCTTTGCGCAAGCCCGGTGGGTATGCGCGCCCGAGGATAGCAATCGCATTCGGGAGTAACATGGCGGGCCCCATTCCTTGAAATGCGCGGCAGCAGTCGAAGAAGATTTGATTCGACCAAACACTGAAGCCCGCCAGCAAAGACCACAGACCGAACCAAGCGAAACCGATAATGAACATCAACCGATGACCGAAGAGGTCGCCGAGCCGACCGCAGACTAAGATAAAAGTGCCGACGGTCAGACTGTACGCCGCCGCAAACCAGCTCAATTCGCCCGGAATGGACGTCTGGAAGCTCTTGCCGATGATATACACCGGGGCGATCGAGATGCACAGGCCCGCTTGCGTCATGAATTGAGCCATGCAGACGACCACTATGAAAAGAATCTCTCGCCACGGCTCTTTCGGCGGTATTACAGCGGACAGAGTGGTCTCAGTGCGCGTCAGTGCTTCGGGATCATCATTGGGGTACTTTGACAGTTTCCCATTCAGCTCACCAGGGCTAATGTCGGATCTCGACGTGGACGGAGAGGGTGTGGCATTGTACTTATCAGACTTCTTCATGTTGGTTCCAGCGGTTCCCATAACGTCCCGGTATATCAGTCCCTTGATGGAGATTCAACGGGAAACGGAGTCCAGCACGTCGGGGGTGACGTCTTTTATATCTGCCATGATCGAGACAATTCATGGAGAATGACCCCTTAACGTATTAGTGATATCCACTAAATTCTCTCATCGGCCTTGCCTGGTACTAATCAGCGAGCGCGTTCAATCCGGTTTACCATAGGGTGATTTGATAGTTTCGCTCTTGTCATTTGTTGCGTACCAGGGATCCGCTCCATTCCCGTCGGATTCGATGTCCGCGTCCCGACGGGACATGGCTCGGAATTGATCGACACTGATGGATAGACACGGGAGTTGCGAAGACTGGATTAAGAGGATTCATAAAGAAGGTTCTTAGTAGCGGAAAGAAAGAAAGGAAAAGGTATTGCAAAATGGCGTTGTTCTGGTAAATTGAAGTTCAGTTAGTCTTTCACACCGGCATCCGCTGTGCGCATATATATATCTCTCTGTCTCGAATGAATTAAATTGGTCTATTATGGTTGGAGTCCTCATCAGAATGAATACTATTCAAGTCATGATTAATAAACCAGGACGGTATCTTTCGTCGCGAAGAATACCTTGATCTGAGGTTAGTCCATTATGAATTTAATGGTTCAATGACTCTTTTCCAAGTTCAAGGCTGTTGACACCTGATGCACGATGGATGCCGGACACGTGATCCTACGCCTAAGGCAGCCGACTGGGAGTATTGTACATACTACTAGTAGTACGTCCAGAGTACCTTGTACCTAGATTCCTGCACGAAAACCTCCGACCCCCGGCTCTAGGGGATGCCTGCAGATGAGGAATTAAGGTTATAGGATTACCTACTAGTCGAGACCCCAAATGCACCTAAAGGGTGCGTCCCGGACTTCTTATCCGCCTTTGGGGTTGATAAGTCACCCGAGGACGAGTTGTGCACTCGAAACCTTAAATAATCTCCGCATTAGGGAGACATTAGAATACATAATCATCCCAATCAGGTTAGCTTCTTGACCTGCCCCGATGACCTCATCCGGTTACATAACCCAAATCACATGCTGGCTGTCAAAGAGAGAAACCAAAACCAAAAAAAAAAAAAAAAAGAAAAACAGAAAAGTCAAGCTGGTTGCCGTTCGACAGGGCATGACAGGGAAGGCCAAACAGATGTGATATGCGTTGTCTGCAGCATGTCTGCTTCAACTCCTTGCGTCCGCTGATCTCTCTCTCGTATTTGTTGTTTCCTCCCTTCACAAAAATTATATACGACGGCGTGAAGCGGTTATAGACGACTATTGATTGATCCATTCTTCATTCTTCCCCTTTTTACCCCGCCGGAGGTTCGAAACATCCAACGAGTCACAACTCCACTGCTGCCTTGACTTGGCTGTTCAGTCGCTTCGCTTGCCAGTACAGACCTACATTTTCCTTTCTCATTTCTTCTCTTTTCCCTCTCTCTCCGTCTTGCTCTTCAGTCGGGTTTACGACCGCGCTACATTTGACATCCGACACTTCACACTATGGGGAAACCCCCCGCCGCGATCGTTATTGCGAGGTACGTCTTAAATGACTTTCGACATTTTTGTTCTGGACTTGCTTTTGCACCCTTCATTCTCTCTGTCTTTCTATGTTAACGAAAACTTGCTGACCGGTAGTGATATATTAGACATGGTGCCCGTCTCGATGCCGCCGATAAGAACTGGCATCTGACGTCTCCAACCCCCTACGATCCTCCGCTTTCTTATGGCGGTTGGCTTCAATCCCGTGCGCTGGGGGCTCGTATCGTCAATGTTTTACAGTCTCTGGACCTCACCCAGGAAATCGATGGCGAGACGTTGCCGTCGTTTCGCCCACGACCTTCCAAGCGAAAGCGTCGAATCGTGATTCATTCCTCGCCCTATCTTCGGTGTCTACAAACCTCGATCGCTATCAGTTCCGGGATCAGCCAGCACTATCCTGATAGTACAGGACCAGGCCCGAGTCAGCCAAATGGGTTCCTGTCCGCCCCCATCATGTCGCCAGCACAGGAGCCGATCACTGGCGCAGTGACCAGTGCCTCTGCAGCTCCCGGTGATCAGCGATGTCTTCTGCGCGTCGACGCCTTTCTCGGCGAATGGCTATGCCCAGACTATTTCGATGAGATTACCCCGCCCCCTAAGTCAGAGAGGTTGATTGCCGCCGCCAAGGCCGAACTATTACGCCGGGACAGCATCGTACCGGAAGCCGATACCAAACCTCCCACGGGCTTTTTCCCGGGTGGCTGGGGCAGCCTTGGCAACAAACCCCTGTCTCCCCCTATTGAAGAGGAGGATCACAAGGCCTATTCCGGGTACACGTCAAACGAGCGTCGGGAGGGACAGAGACACCGGGCCGGCAGTTGTGACACCCTACGGTCCGCAGACACCCCACGCACCCGGAGGTTGCTCAGCAAAATCAACACTAACCTCCCGCCTATCCCCGATGGGGCGTACATGCCCCCGACGCCGAGCTATGCCATCTCGCCGTCCGAACCGATTCCCACTGGGTATGTCACGCACGCTCGGGATGCTTGTGTGAGGATCGACTATCCGTGGGATAGCATGCGAGACCCGCCGAATTGGGGAAATGGGGGTGAGTACGGCGAAGAGTGGAGTACGATGCACACCCGCTTTCATAACGGACTGGAGCGGATGATCGGCTGGTATCAGGAGCACGATGCATCCCTTCCCTCCGGTCGGCGTCGGCGTCACTCGCAATTATCCTTGTCCGAGACCGCAGAGGAGTCGAAGATACCGGACGACGAGGACGAGCCCACCGACACGATCCTGGTAATCGTCACTCATGGGGCAGGCTGCAATGCGCTCATCGGAGCCATCACTGGCGAGCCCGCCCTCGTGGACATCAATACTGCGTCCCTCACCCTGGCAGTCCCGAAGGACCGTGTGGCTGTCCCAGAGAAATTGGACGCGATCGGCGGACCCGTCGTGCCGTATCGTCCCGCGAACGAGCGGGCCGGGTTGCGCGATTACAAGCTACAGCTGGTGGCTTCGACCGACCATTTACGACCGGTCTCAAACGTCTCGACGTCCGTTCTCCCGTCGCCTAGTACTTTAACTTCTCCATCGTCCGCGTACCGTCCACGATTCTCGACCCGCCCGTCGTTACCGCAGGGCGGGTTCGTGATCGGCCCTTCTGCTTTGTCCGGACCGGGCACCGGTTCGTGGACATTTTCACGACCTTCCACCGCTCCTCGCAGTGCCAGTGGCCTGTGGGGCTCCAACTCCATCTCGGCCGGGGACGCGGCGGACGATATAATCCCCAACTTCGGTGATTCCTGGTCGGGTTCCAATGGGACTAGCAACAATGACCACCACTCCGGCAAGAAGCCGGAAGAGTCGTCAGATTGGACGCCCCAGCTTCCCCAGAGGACGCTCTCCCAACGAGGGCTCTGGGGAAGTGGGCCTTCGAAGGAGCCCCATGTCAAGCGGCGCTGGACGGTGACCGAACGACGAGTTTAACCAGGGTAGATTAGACCATGCGCGGAATACCTTTCTCATCTTCTGTTTCACACATTTAGCGGACTCGTCCCCCTTGGTTTCCCTATTCCCTTTCCCCCTTTTTCCTTTTTCTTTTTCTTTTTCTTTTTTTCTTTTTTTTTCCTTTTCGGTTATTCGGCGAGGCGTTTCTGGGATCATAGCGAATCTGAGCGTTTAACGACTGCATGAAAAATCCTAGTATGCTATGACTTTGAGCGATCGGGATCTTTGACCCATCTGAGCACATCTACTCAACTCTGGAAATGTACAACAATATTAATGCCACTCCACCTAGGTACCCTCGGCTCGCTGTCTTTGATACACCCGTAGGTAGTTTGTGTATATCGGAGGTAACTGAATATACAGATCCACTCTAATCAAGGTGTATTCGTGATTCCCCCTCTTAATAGCCGACGGAACATTTGCTTCCGTCAATCTGACCGTGGAAATAACTGTCGAGCATGTATGGCATGCTTGCCATCAAACCTGATCAGTAAGAATCATATCAATCAATGCAACACCTTCACCATGTACACTCTCCGCAGCCCATTCTCCCACCCCCGATGTGTCTCCACATACCCCAATCTCTCGTAAATTCCCAGATTCTCCACCATCTTCTCATTCGTATACAATCTGATGCGTTCAAACCCGCACGCTCTCGCCGTCTCCTCCGCAAACCCCATCAACCTTTTCCCCAACCCTACCCCCTGGGCCGCCGGCGCAACAGCCACATTATCCAGTAACATCGTCCCCTCCTCCGGAATCAGCACCAGAATCCCACTCATTACCCCATCCTTCTCCACCACATACACTCGCCCGGCGTCGATCAGCGCCCCATAATCCTCAAGCATGGGGCCGGGTTTTCGGCCGATCCGTTCAATGTAGGGGGTGTAAGCTTTGTTGACCAAGGTTGCAATAGTGAGTTTATCGGAGGCAGTTGCGAGCCGGGGTTTGAAATCCAGAGCCATTTTCCTTTTTTGCTTTCCCCGATGGTTCTCCAAGGGAAAGAAGAAGAAGGGGTGGAGGTTGTTGAGGTTGAGATTGATTTGGTTAGAGTTTGATATTGTATATATTTACCCCCGTACTCAGTACCTTGTGTAGGGCTTTCTTTTCTTTTCTTTTTTTTTTGTTACTTTTTCCCGATGAGAACCTGGTGATCATCAGGAAAATGAGGAAGTAATACACCAATGATGGAATTTGGTATCGGATGTCTTGTTGAATCTTGAATGTAACTTTGGCTTTTAATGGATATGTAGGTACGTACTGATTAGTAGGGCTCTATCAGACCCGTGACTGGGGTGTGAGAGTACACAGTAGTGGCAGGCGTGGGTGGAAGTTGTCGTTGATTGATATTGAGGAGGAAAAGGCGGATCTTACTAGTCATCGGGTGGTTGGGATGGTCATGTGTCATGAGACTAAAGATACAAACTAGTTTGTTGGTAGCTTTGGTTTTCAACTTTCGGGTTGGATTTCATGGCATTTTGAATTCATAGTCCTATTTACGAGGTGATTTAATGTGTAGGATTAGGGTTAGGCGGGCCAGTGGTAACACTGCAGTGAGAGAATGCCCTGAGTCTCAGGTAACACCGAGTCTGGAAGGAGAAGCACCACCAGATTGGCAATCATATCATCCGTGCAAGGAATTTCAATGCCGAGTTTATTACTCTAAGGAAAACAGTGGGCAGACGCCTGGATACCCTCACAATTCATTGATACATCGTAGTTCTAATGTTTCCACAAGAGTCTTATTCTTGATTGATATGTGATACGCATGTCTGATGAGATCTGATCAACATACCTAAACGCTTCTACTTGTAGGACACCTTTGAAGTAGCTATGAAGATGTGCAACTGAATTTGAAGGTCATTCAACGAGAACAAGAAGTTTATCGCCGTTTTGGCTTTGGTGGGAGAGAATACATCGATAAAGTTGTCTATGTTCTACGGAGAATGAATGAGCTGATTGACCACAAAGCGCATCCCTTCCCATCCTGATGGTTTCTGGTTGCGGTCGCAGAGGGAGCGTTCCAGAATGCATAGAGTGCATACTGGATACCCAGTTATTTCACGATAATAATAATTGGTTCAGTCTCTCCAGATAGCTATCACGATAACAACCTCAATATTCTAACAATTTCCCGTGGAGTGCTCGGCCTATACCATCTACCTTTCACAAATCATGTACCATACCCTTAGTAGAGCACTATCCTCTGGTAATAAGGACCTTTATCTGCTCCATTTGCGCGAAATAGAATTCTGTAGACTATCATAACATGACTGTAGGCTGTGTCTCTCGCTAACATAAGATACTGATGATTAACCATACACGACATTGCCGATAATGAGAAGTCCGATGTTACACTCGCCCCAGTGTCAGTATTAGCTAATCAACTCAGCAGAAGGGATTCCACAAGAGCTGAAATCCGGATCTCACGTTAAACAGGCCGAAATAGATGGTTGGGAGCAAAGTTTGATGGACAAATGCGGAAAACCGAAGTGGGAGTCATGACGTAGATTGAACTCCTACGAACACCAACTATTCCAATCTATTGGGATTGATTCCAAGTAGATCGTTGAGCTACTCCAACTCATGCGATTTCTACATTGTTTTGATCTCCTCGAAGAAGCGCCAGCGATTTTATAATCCCAACTACAATGCGGTCATCATTTTTGATTCTGGCTACTGCGCTGCTACCGTCTATCTGCCTTTGCACGACTCGTGAGCGAAGCGGTACGCATTGCTCCAAACACTATCAATGTAAATGGACTAATATATACTAGGGTACTCCGTACAGTGAACCTAATGGGAATGGCTACAAGCAATGGGCAAAGATTGATGGTCGATGCCGACGACTGAATCCTCGTCTGTAAGGTTCAAATAACCTTAGCAGCCTTAGCAGCATGGCTTCTATTACTGAAATAATGCTGGCTAGAGCCGAAAATATAGGGTCCCTCTATATTGGAGAGGACACTTCTTGTGATCTTTAATTCGAGTTCAAAGTCATATGTCATCGCGAGGGGACGCATTCCACCTTATAGACGAGTAAGCGTTCAAGTGGAGCGAGTACAAATATGTCTTGAAGTCACCAAGTTCTAGAATCTTTTAAGTAGAATGGTTTGGATCCTTAACCACGGAAAGTAATGATTTTGAAACCTAGTTGCCGCAACCTTGACCATTTAGCTCCAAGCTTTCCGGTTGCAGTAATGTTGAAGTTCAAGTCGAAGTGCTTTATGTCATAAGTCGTCACGGCAGAGTACACCAAATCAATCTATGTTAGCGGACTCCGGACTATAAAATGTGGTATAAAGAATCGGAAAATCATGAATTCTCAATCTTGGTCTGTCTTCCAACCACTATCCTTAACCAAAGATGAAGTCTTTCACATCTCTTCTCGTTCTCTTCAGCGTCTCCGCCCCTGTTTTCTCCTCTCTGCTATCACCTATCGACGTCCGGAGCGAAGACGTAATCGTGCAGCTCGCGAACGACTGGACAGGCGCTAATGCCAATGCTACTATCTCGCCTGACGGTTCAAAGCACGCCATCCAGAAGCTCTGGGGTAAATCTGACCTCGTTGGAGAAGACGGTGAAGTTTACGCGACAAGTGCATCACTCGTGAAGTTCGAACAAGGGACAGCATGTCGTATTGTAAAGCAGCCAAACGTGAACGTTATTATGCACTCGCAAACGACCTGGGTATTCTTGGATCGCGGGGCATGGGTGAAGTTGGACAACGCGATTTTACAGTGCGTTGATGTTAATCAGACTCCTTATACAGGTGATCTGTAGGCGCACTTACAAGAGAGGTCCTCATGTGGTATACACGGTATGCTGTTTTCCGCAGCCCTTGATGTGGTTCAATGTAGGCCAGCCTGCTTTCTGAAAAATATGTGTCTCCATACTAGCTTTCCATTCAGTGTCAACACCTATAGTCCATAATTCGTATTTGGTTAAATAGTGGCACATGGAGTTTATTGATGTGAGTATGTCTGTGCCGTCGCATTCACTGTCGATAGCATAAGTCTTACTATACAACCGCTAGAATAAGGAGTAAATTGTTCCCTGCATTATTCATCGTATCTATAGGCTGGAGCCTAAATTGGAATAGACTCTATTTGGACGATTAATACGAATGTCAGGAAATAGATTGTAATCCTGACAGGTGGTTTCAAAGCCCGCACCTTGGGTTCTTAATATCTTAGATCTTCTATATATTCGTACGACATCATCGGAAGGTTCAAAGGTTACAGTTACCACTGCCATGACGCATGAGACAATACGAGGCGTCCGTCCTCTCTTGCGACTGATTTCGGACAGATCTGAGACGTTGTTCTTTGACTTATGTCTGAAGCTGGGATGTGGCTCAGAGTGAAACATATATAAGAGTAGCGAGTCATACTGATGTATGTTATGCCCTTTGGAGTTGCAATCAATCAAAAATCTTATTGCTTGAACTCTGCAACACCTTCAACTATACATCGCCATCTAGCAACGCTACATACAATGGACAGAAATAGCTTGATTGAGAAATACAAGGCAGTTCACTCTTTCCAAGCTTTGTTGATACCCAGTCTTATCTTATAACAGAACAGTGCAAACGTTGATATGGTTGACATATTTATAAGAACATTTGAAGATTATATATGGAGTACACAGTGGACCTTCCCCAATACTCCGCTGATGCATTTCTCTGACAGGACAAGGACATCAACGGTGAGGCGAGCTGTGGGAAACCTTACGTCGATCTAATGTATTTGTATTAGGGACGATGAATGCGGATGAATACCGAACCATGGCAAGGGAGGTTTTCGAGGAGACCTAAGTGATCAAACAATCCAATGGTCCTTTCAAAATGTAGATAGAGATCATGATGGCCGGCTCTCTTTTTACGGTAAGTGCCAACCCAATGGAGGTATCCTTCAAAGTCAGGTTTTAATCAATTCTGTACGGATAGCTCTAAATAGAGTATACAGACGGCTGCATGAACCTGGAATAAGCTGTAAAGTGTTGGGGAAGAGTGGCATGGCCTCGCTGTTCTTGCCGCTATTCGTGTGGTAGACTGTGTTACAGCTTACTAAATCATAAACATTCATAGTGTATATAGAAAGATGCCTAGGTAAAGGATATACACATCAATAAGTGAGGATCCGAGCCTACGAAATTAATGGACAAAGGGCACAATACAGACTAGATAGGCTCTAAGCACGACAGTCTCTCTAGCTGGAAGCCCTTCTTGATGCTCAGTCACTGCGGGTTGCACTCTCTCAAATGATGACATCTTCTAGATCCACTTTGTCCTTGGTTTATTAGATTATCAACTACTCCGTATGGCTATAAAAGATGAGGGCTTTCCCCCCCTCCTAATCACTACCAATGATCCACACGGACGGGGTGGGGATCCCGTAGGTAATCGTCCGTGGTTGATTGGCTCGGACCATCGAGGGGGATCCACGGTGGCTCCGGTGCCTGCATGCCTGGGGTGTCCACTGCGCTGGTCACCGCTGGTGTCAAGTGATCCAAACCCCTCCTCCTCCGTCTTGCTTCCCCCGACTTGTTCTTCATCCCTCTTGATTCACTCGGTCGCTTTCTTCCTCCTTGTCAGAATGTCTGCCGTGGAAAACGACGGACTCACCATCACTCATTCTTCCGAACGAACCGGAACCCCCGATCTTCGTCTCATCCATTACAATGATGTTTACCACGTGGAGTATGCCGATCCCCCTCGCTCTGTGCATCCGTCACGACAGTTCACTAACCAATATCCGGAATCCAGGCCAGGGTCTGCGGAGCCAGTCGGTGGTGCTCCTCGATTCCAGTCAGTGATCAATCATTACCGTTCGGATCCCCGATTCGCCGGACAACCAGACGTCCTCACCTTTTTCTCCGGAGATGCTTTCAACCCAAGCCTCGAAAGCACGGTCACCAAGGGGCGCCATATGGTTCCTTTTCTGAATAAGGCAGGCACAGATGTCGCATGTGTTGGGGTATGTTTGCTGGTGTACGGGGAGAGTGTCCTATGCAAAGTACGATATGGATAATGCAGGTCTGACGTGTATGTGAGATAGAACCATGACCTTGATTTCGGTGTTGCGCAGCTGCGTCATCTGCGTAGCCAGTGTCAATTCCCATGGTTACTGGCCAATGTCCTTGATCCAGCCCTAGGAGAGGATATCCCCATTGCGAACTGTGAGCGAACCCGGATGTTGACCGCGTCGAACGGGCTCAAGGTGGGCGTGATCGGTCTGGGGGAGAGAGAATGGTAGGTTGTCCCAAACTTTTATATATGCTAAATGTCCAATTCTCACGTATTCAAGGCTAGGAACTATCAACTCCCTTCCCCCAGACTTGATCTACAAATCTGCTGCCCAAACCGCTCTCGAACTTGTCCCTCGTCTCCGTGAACAAGGCGCCGATATCATTGTCGCTGTCACCCACCAACGTGAACCGAACGACTACAAATTGGCAGAGAGGCTTCCACCGGGCTTCATTGATATCATTCTGGGAGGTCACGATCATTACTACGCACATGCTATCGTCAACGGGATTCAAGTTCTGCGCTCCGGGACAGACTTTAAACAGCTTAGCTACATCGAAGCGTGGCGGAAAACGGATGGACCAGGATGGGACTTCAGCATAGTACGGCGCGATATGGTCCGATCAATTCCAGAAGACCCAGCGACCGTGGCGCTGGTAGCCAAGCTAACATCCAGCTTGAAATCCAAGCTGGAGAAACCCATCGGCTACACTGTCCGGCCGCTAGACTCCCGATTTTCCACCGTCCGCCAGAGAGAGTCGAATCTAGGGAACTTTGTGTGCGACCTGATGCGATTTTACTATGCGGCTGATTGCGCCATGATGGCTGGTGGTACCATCCGCGGTGACCAAATTTATCCGCCGGGTATTTTGCGACTGAAAGATATCTTGAATTGTTTCCCTTTCGAAGATCCGATTGTCTTGCTCCGGGTCCAAGGACGAGCTCTGATGGACGCCCTTGAGAACGGTGTGAGCCAGTTGCCCGCCCTGGAGGGTCGATTTCCACAGGTGTCAAACATTGCATTCAGTTACAATCCATCTGCTCCGCCCGGCTCGCGTATCAACTGGGCGAAGATCGGAGGACACCCGATCGAGTACGACCGGACATACTCCCTTGCCACGCGAGGGTACATGGGCCGTGGAAAGGACGGCTTCGCGTCGTTGCTGGTACAGTCTGCTGGCGGCGAGGTAGAGGAGGTTGTCGACGAGGAAAGCGGAATCTTGGTCAGCACCCTCCTTCGTCAGTATTTCCTGAGCTTGAAGGTGGTGGGTAGGTGGCAACGCTGGAGTAAGAGCTTGGCACGTCACTGGGGCACCGTGCACCAGAACCTCCACTGCAATGGCTGGCTGAAGCCACCATCTGGCCAAGCCTCCCCGGTAACTGAGAAGGCTCCGGTACGGCCCCTGCGACCGACCCTCCAACGGACCAAACAATATCATTACTACGGCCGCTTTCAGGAGATTGACACGGAAGGGGGTCCGGAGACAGAGGCCGAGAGTAATGAGGACATGGATTCTGATTCCGACTCGGATCCAGAAATCTTGACTTCTCCGCAGCCCACTACGAACTATGTGACACTGCCTGCGCAATCTGCAGCAGAGGAAGAGCACCGACTTCGACTAGCGCGACGCGTCGTGCGTAAATGGATGCAGAAGGCTGGATTCCAGTCGACCACGTTGAACGGCACTGACGATGCTGGTTTTACCCCGACATGGACTCCGGGTATCTCCCCGCGTCTCGAGGGACGCATTGTGATAGAAGACACACGGTAGATTCATGATAGACCACGAGATTTAGACGATTTTCGATATGATTTATGATAGAACATGCTTTCAGATACAATGTCTCACATGGAAGCATTTTGACGGGCAATGGAATTTTATCATGTTGGTTTGCTTCTCTGCTATCAACTAAGACGCATCTATAGAGTACCCTGCTCGTAGATATTATCGCCTTGACCCCGAAAGTATTTCAGACTTTCTTTTTGGTTGAAACGATATATAGAGGAGCAAGGGTAGCATCTGATTGCCTCTAGCGACAATGGACAGTCAAAATCCGAGTGAAACACTTCGAAATTTTACATTGGTAACTCCCATGAGCACAGTCCAATCACAAAACGTGTATTATCAGTCATGAACCCTTCCGTACAATCATCAAGAAACTTAGATATAGAACACCATTGAATAATACAAGCATAGAACTCCCATTAAACCTCCTACTGCGCAGCACCCCAACCACCACCACCAGCAGTCATGATCACGACACGATCATGCGTCTTCGTTGAAACGGTATTCTTACCACCGATATTCACGACGCGTTCCTTACCCGTCTCCTCATCCTTGGAAATCCACAGATTCAGACCAGACTGCGCATCTTCTCCCCCTTCCAGACCGTAGGGACGATGGACTCGCCGTTCCGATAGAATTGAGCATTCCATAGGTGCCAGGAACTCGATGTCTCGGACGACGCCGTCACCACCGGGGTGCAGTCCCTTTCCGCCCGAGCCGGGTCGAAGGGTGAACTGGCGCAGCAGAGTCGGGTACCGCTTCTCGAGGATTTCCGGGTCGGTGATCCGCGTGTTGGTCATGTGGACGTGGATGCCGGACTCGCCCTTCCAGGTTGGTCCTGCGCCGCTGCCTCCGGCAATGGTCTCGTAGTAGCCGAAGCCGGGGATGGTTGCGCCGGTGTCCGGGTCAACCTTGGAGTTGGTGCCGAAGGTCAGGTTGTTGCAGCAACCTTGGGATGCGGCGCAGGC